AGTCATTGAACCACTAAAAAATAGCTAATTATCATGCAAATTAGGTAATTAATATGCACGGATTTTTACCAAAAATTAATCAAATCTGCGCATATGTTCAGAGCATCTATGTACCAAGTTTCATCAAAATCCAATGAGTGGTTCTTTAGATATCAGTGGAAAAGTCATAGAACAGCTAAAAATTAGCTAATTATCATGCAAATTAGGTAATTAATGAGCATGGATTTTTACCAAAACCTAATCAAATCTGCGCATTGGCCCAGAGCATCTATGCACCAAGTTTCATCAAAAACCGATGTATGGTTCTTGAGATAGCAGTGGAACAGTCGGACACACATACACACACACACACATACATACACACATACACACATACACACACACATACAGACACACTAACTGCAAAGACTCCCATTTTGTGCTTCGCACATGGGAGTCAAAAATGATCACACGCTCAAAAAATGTGAGCATAGAATGTAAATTTGAACAGATAGGGAATGCATTATTTTTGTTTGGTAACTTTGGACTAAAGAAACATAATTTTCTATCACCTTCAGTTCTTGATCAAAAATTTCATAGGAGTGTTTATATCAATTATATGACATCTTGTTTTCTGTTATAATAGTTCAATTATTTTATTGGTAGGTTTGCAAATGTGTATTAGACTGTGCAATAATTTTCTCCATGAGTTGATTGAAACCTAGTCTAAAATTCCCATGAGATTTGAGAGATACATTACCAATGATATTGATTACAAGATAAATGATTTACTTCATTGAACACATACAGCAATACAGGGATCAGTGACCTTTGAATGTGTATTACCAGTAATCAATCAAGTAGAATTCTCAATTTTGCATGCACATTTTCAAACAGGATATATGTCCGAACTAAGAGTAGATTTTATACTGATGAATTAGGTGACCAAGTTTGATACAATTTGGAATAGAATTAGTAAAGTTATTGTGCACACATTAACAATTATTAATAATGAGTACTACAACAACAACGACGATATTTTGCCTGTTAATATACCTTTCCCTTTCATCTTTGATGATACGGCCAAGATAAAAACTTACACTTACCAAAGATTGATTAGGTTCACATTTAATATATTTTCTAATAAACTCCATCACCCATCCAATTTTCTTTGATGGATCAACTGCCCATTTTTTCTTTTTCATGATTGGTGCATCACCAGCAGCTTTCAGAAGCAGGTCAACTTAAAACAAAATGTATGTATGTTGGAACAGGTGCAGACATAAACAAATGTGATAAGAACCCAACAGCTTGAGCCAGCAAAAATAACAGTGTAAACATGTTCACCTTGAGCCAATTTCCAATAAACTTTTGGGGGTTGAACTCTGATGAAACTGAGCTCCAACATGTCACAACTGACTAAATGAAGGTAGTCAGAATGATGTTCCAGCTCGGCTCTGAACAATGAAGCTGCATGGGTCACAACCGTATATACACACAAGAACAATAGAAGAAAAATAGTTTACTGGAGACAAACTTGGTTTGAGATGAACATGTTTACACTATTGTACTACATGATGTATAATGACAGGGGCATGAAAACATGGTTGGGAGGAAGCATGAGTGGAAGGCAGGGTTTGTTTCTTTATTTATTACTACCTTAATTCTTTAAAGGGCGGTGGTTGTCGTGCAGCACGTGTTCGAATTTCATGTAAACAAACAATGTATTTTACATGCGCTATGTACGTCACTATGAGTCCCATATCTAACAGGACGCGTCGCGATGACCACCACCCTTTAATATACTATTATAATACCACCCTACTGATGTTTCAAATCATGTATCACACGTAAGACATACATGTAGTGTTAAACAGTATTACAGTATTTAGGGACTAAACATTTGAAATCATGTTGTCTTATCTGTACATTTTAATTGTTCATTAGAACATGTTTTCTCAGCATGATGCCTTTTCTTTCTCTTGGTCACAGTCTCTCTATCATATTGATAGAGGGACTGTGTCTTGGTCTACCTTGCATCTTCCATCCACCCCACATGATTTCAAATGATCGACTAATAACCTAAAGTTTTGTTTTCTGCACACGTTCATTTTGATTGTGAGATATTCTGTTAGAATTTTACACTAGCTATCACTACCCTGGTGCGAGTAGACCCAATCTACAATGTCCTCGGATCACTCAGTAAAAACTACGACTTCCGGGTTTCGAAGCTGTTCTGTAATCTTACGACTACATCTGCATATATTGAATGATTCGCACAAACGGCTAAAGAGAGTTAAATCAACCTACTTTTTTTCTTCTCTGATGGTACTGGCGACGATGGTCCTGGAGACTGCGGTTCGTCTTTTTCCACAGGTGTAGACTGGTCGTCAACACCATCAGCCATTTTGAATAAAATCGCCCACACCAAGGAACAGCGCCAGCATGCGACGATGTGTTTCAAGGAATATCACATAACATCCCCACGGACAAAAAAAAAAAAAAAAAACACTAAACGATTAAACACAGGCCGTGAATGATATACTAAAGGTTGGTATACAAAATTTAGTCATATAAATATTTAAGTATCTACGTGCGTTTCCACAAGTTGGGTGTTAGGTCGAGTGTAAATAATAAAGTAATTTTGGAAAAATATCACTGACCACGCGCGGATTTAGTAGCAATGTTAAGAAAATTATACAACACAGATAGCATAAATCTGCCCTACAGATAATTACGTTTTTATTTATCATTTCAGGGGGGTACAGGATTTTTTTACGGGGGGGGCAAACTTTAAAATCGCCAGACTAATTTAATGATTTTTTTTTTATATTATACAAAAACAAATTGAATAAATGTCCCTGTTAGAACAGTGAAGGGAGTTTAGTATTAACCATGGAACTATAAACTATGTTTATAATTTCATGTGTTAACAGACGAATTCCATTTTTATTGTGTTGTCCAACATAACTCAAAAAAGATGTAATTGACTAAGTTTCAGAGTGCGTCAAACGTACGAAAGCTGCATAACTGAAGACAACAAAGAATCCAGTTCAGTCAAATCTAATCACTTTACGTCAATCTTGAAGCGAAGTGCTAAAATTAATGAAAACAAAATATGTATCGTTAGCGTATGCTTATTGCCGTAATGTATTTTGAGGGGTTCTTTTTGTATTTTACTTCACTGCCGAAGTCTAATAAGTCTAGATTAGTAAATAGACCCACCTGCATTTCAGTTCTTTAATTGAATGACGAAAGGCAGTCGTACTAGTATAAGAAGGTCATTGTGAATAAGCACCGTAAACAAAACAATCAGATATATATATATATAGATAGAATTTTTTATCTAGACAAAGGGGGAATTCTGAGATCGTTTGGATATGTTTGATAAAAATGTTCGATGCAATTGTAAAACCAATCATGCTTTACTGCAATTTGGATGAGCGAGAACATCAACAAATCGCATCTTATGGCAAATACCTACTAAAAGTAGATAGCAAAGCAAGTAATTTGGCAAGCCTACTAGGGTTTGGAAGGTATCCTCTCCTAGCAACAAGCTTAAAATATATGATCAAATATTGGATCAAAATAAATAATTCTAACCCAAATTCGCTAGTACATGAAGCTTACAATCTTGGAATACATCTTGATAAAAAAGGAAAAGACAACTGGGTAACAGACATAAAACAAATTTCAGAAAATTTAAATATGGGAAATATTTGGGAAAACCATAAATCTTTTGATGACAAACAAATCACTGAAACAGTAACGCGCAAACTAGAACAATCCTTTGAAATACATAGCACAGAAACATTACACGATGACAATAAAGGTAAAAACAAGTTACGAACCTATAGGAAAATTAAAACATACCCTTCAAATCGAAACGGGCAGATATAATAGCATTTTAGCGGAGGATCGAATTTGCCCAGTTTGTGACAAACAGGAAATTGAAAACGAAAAACATTTTCTTCTCAATTGTAATCTATACAAGAAGGAATGAGAAATCATGATCAAGAATATTAAATACAATAAAAGCAACTTGGGGACGGATGACGAACAACTTACAGATATACTAAAAAGTAAAAATGACAAAACAATGAGCTAGGAAAATTCATCCACACTTGTTTCAAATTACGACAAGAAAAAATTCTAAAATGCCAGATGCCACAATCAACCAACCAACCACTAAATAATTTAATTTTTTCTCTCTTCTTTTCTTCATTCAATTGTCTGTAAATATCTTGTATTTTTTTGCTATCTTTTTGTATTACTTTATTGTATTTTCAACTAAGATCCCACTAAAGATAAATAAAGATTATTATTATTATTATAAACATATAATAACATATTAGCGGTTGGAAATCATCTGACCAATCACAGTAATTGTGATTAGTTCCGACTTTATAATGTATACGAGATGTAATTGGTAACCAGTGCAGTGATTTTAGAAGTGGACTGACATGATTCGATTGCTTTGATTTACAAATTAACCGGCCAGCTGAGTTTTGAACACGTTGTAGTTTGTTTGTGATAGTGAGAGGACAGCCGGCCAGTAGATTATTACAATAATCTAGACAAGAGAGTACAAATGCACATATTAGAGTGTTGGTAGCATCAGGGGTCAAATAAAGGCGAATCGAACTTATCTGTATCAGCTGAATGTATGCCGCCTTACACACATTTCCGA